TGTGTGTGTGTGTGTGTGTGTGTGTGTAGAAGCATTTTGGATGCTTGGCAACTGGCTCATCTTTGCAGTGTTTACAGTACCCCTTGGTCTCATAACCACAATTTGCAATGCCCCCCCCCCCCCTATTTCTGATTTACTTCCATTTTCCAGCAGAAAATGCCCATTGGGGAAAATGGATGTACTTAATGACTGCAGAGTTCACTTAACCACTGCAACAAATGTAAAAGCAGATTCTCTTTTGCTTTGGTCATGATTTTTTCTGATTTTTTTTCTCTCATCCTCCCCTCCCTCAGTCTTATGTTGCTTTCTTTGCTTTTTTGTGTCCAGGACAGAAATCTATCCTCCCCGGTGGTCCACTCATCCAAAATGTCCATTCCTCCAAACGCATCCTTTTCTCCATAGTCCACGACAAATCAGGTAAGACTGCATTCTCTGGTCTTAGAGAACGGCATCAAAATTTTACAGGTGAGTGTGAATTCAGATTATAGAACTCTTTCATATGAGACCTCCCAAAAAAGCTGTTAGAAAAACAACACTAAATAACGGGTGGAAGGAAAATAAAGGCGTAAAGTGGTTGATCTTAGATCTGGGATTACAGATAAATGAGCGAAATAATGGGTTTAAATGATAGAAAGACCAAGTGTGGATGAATGTTAAAAGACATTATAACAATAGCAGTTTGACAATGGAAGAAGTCCTTTAGGGAGGTCGTGTAGTTGTTCTGACCTAGGCTTCACCAAATCATGAAACAGACTCCTTATCCCAACAAAACCCCTTTTTATTAAGCTAATGTGAATTCCTCTCATTCACATTCAGCAAAGTCCTGGCAAACAATCTTTCAAGAGTGAATTTATAACCACAGACCTTATCAGGCTTGGAGAGCTGCCAGGCCGGTATCTTCCAAACTGGCAATCCTGTAGAAATCAATACTTGGTAAGGAGTCTCTGAGAGTCACAAATCAATCTTCACACTAATTAAACGAACAAATTGTCTCCTGCAAACTCCACTCCCTTTTCGTTCCTTTTTATTCCCTATGGGAGGGGCCATTCACTGTCCACCTGTGCCTTTATTCCTAAGTTGGCCCTTGTTCTTTAACTTTTCCCTTCTCCTGGCAGCTCTGTGCATGTGCACATTGGGAACAGGCTCCAGGTGTTCTTCTGCCCCATTGATCTCCAACTCTGAAGGCAGCTGATAACTGTCGGACGGCCCTGGCCTCCTCTCTGCCTTCGATGCAGAGCACTTATCAGCCTTCCCCAGACTCCAGGACTGGCCCATGTTCCTCCCCAACCTCCTCACTGTCTGAGTCTGCCACCACCTCCGCTGGCCACTGGCGGACCACAACAGTACTACTTACTAACTAAAGGTAGTCCTCAACTTACGATTACAGTTGGGACAGAAATTCTGTTACTAAGCAAGGCGGTTGTTGGGAGTGGTCGCTGCTGATTTTATTGCCTTTTTTAATGAATCCAATGAATCCAAATTCCCTCATTGGCTTTACTTGTCAGAAGCTTGCTGGGAAGGTCGCATATGGCAATCACATGATCCTGAGATGTTGCAGCTCTCCTAAAAACATAGCAGTTGCCACGTGCCTAAATTTTGATCATATGACTAAAGATTCTGTGATGGCCATAAGTGTGAGGATTGATCATAAGTCATGTTTTTCACAGTCACTAAACGAATGGTCGTAAATTGAGGACTACCTGTACCTGTTGGCATCTAGGGAATTGATTTAAGGCAGAGGTCTTCAGAAGTCAACTTTAGTACTTGTGGCCTTCAACTCCCAGAATTCTCCATCCAGCTATGAATTCTGGGAGTTGAAGTCCACAAGTCTTAAAGTTAACAGGTTTGGGGACCCCTGATTTAAGGTGATCAGAATTGCCTGTTTTAAGTGACAGGAGCACTCTGGAGTTTCTCGGACCTGCTGCAAATAAGCTTGAAAACCTTTGCAAGTGAATCCTATGTTCATTCTCTGTTTTATTGTCTCCTTTTATGTACATTGGCTGGCATGAGACTTCCTTTACAACTAATACAAGGCCATTGGGTTGGGGGTCTGCAACTTGCCTCCTATCAGGTGTGAAAGATCAGGTCCACATGGGAAGGTCCAATTATTCTGATTTATTGCTACTCATGCACAGGAATATTCTCAACTAAGGTTAGCCCTTGCCAGAAGTTAGATAAAGGCCAACGGAATTCAAGGGGATTGGACTTAGCTTGCTTGTGGCTACCTAGAGATTCTAGGCTGAGCCCTCTTTTGACTCCCCCACTACCTTCAGGTTCTACCACTCCTATCTGGCATTTCACAGATCACGTCACTTGGAATAGTAATGTGGTCACAAAAAGGCATGGGGCCAATTCTTTTGCCCCTATTCTCCTTTGGGGAAACTTTTAAAGCTGGACCACGGAGATGTCTTCGGACAGCGCTGATTCTTCGGCTTTGAAATGGAGATGAGTATTGCCCCCTAGAGTCAGGAACGACTAGCACATATGTGCGAGGGGAAACCTTTACCTTTAATAGAAGCAGTAGCGTCCAGGAAGCATACCTTCCTATCCCAAAGGTGCTTTTCAAGAGGCAACTGAATTTTCTGGTTTTTCTTTGAAGATGTTTTGCTGCTCATCCAAGAAGCTTCTTGGATGAGCTTCTTCGGCTCTTCTTCTTCTTGAGTTCTCCTTGGGTGAGAAGTGAAATGTCTTCAAGGAAAGACCAGAAAGTCCAGCTTCCTCTTGGAAAAGCTCCCTTGGGGCAACCATGACCTGGATGACCGAGAATCTCTATAGACGTAGAAGATAGCTTCCTATCTTCACTTTATTTCTACCTCAAAGTTCCTCAACATTAGCTGAGCTCCTACTGTAGTTTCCCTATGGTCCACCTAGAGCAACATTGTTTGCACTGATTAGCAATGGTTTCCTAAGCTTTCAGACCAGACATTTTCCTACTTCTACACTAGAGGTAGATCTGGCAGGTTATTTGAGCTAAGCATGTGTGTTCCACTCATTTCCCTATTATATTTAAGACATGATATATTTTCCGCTCAAAATTGACGGCACTCCAGCCTCTTACCCTTTTCTCATTGGCTTCTTTTCATTTCTTCCGACTTGATCGAGATAGTTTCTCATTAGCTTTTATAGCACATTTTAAAGTGATGATATATTTTTATAACATACAGCTTTATTTTAATTCTTTTCTATAGATGCCAAGTCTAAATGGGGAATGTAAATATTTTTATAATACAAATACATTCAGTTGAGCTTGCCAGGAACTTAAGAAAAAAAAATGTTATGTGCTTAGGCCACCCAGAATACTCACTTGAATAAAAAAGACAGTCAGTCAGTCAAGAAAGTAGGCTGCACAAACATCACAGGAGCTGTCAGGCAAATCTTATTTTGGAGGACAAGCAAATGGACCACAGTCAGTCCCACCTCCTGCAGAAGTGTGAGGCAACAGAATGTCAAATCACTTGACCATGGTTTTGCATAAACAGAAATGGGGTAGTCATAGCCCCTGCAAGTCATCTTCCCAAATTCTCTCAACACTCTCAGTCTGATGGAGAATGAATTTTCCCTTTTATGATAGAGGAGAAATATTTAGGTCAGTGCTCAGCTACAGTTTAGGTGGATCTCAACACTTCTGACCAAATTTCAAGGATTCATTACTCTATATGAATTCTTGCCCCTGGGCTTTAACAGGATCTCAGTGCCCATTTTTACATCACCGACCTCCCACTGCTTGGGGGTGACCTACATAAATTTTTTAAAAGTACAATTCACTTGCAAAAAATAATGTATACAGCAGTGGTGGGTTTCAAAATTTTTTAGAACCTCTTCTGTAGGTGTGGCCTGCTTTGTGGGAGTGGCTTGTTGGCCATGTGACTGGGTAGGAGTGGCTTGCAAGCCATGTGACCGGATGGGAGTGGCTTGGCAGCCATGTGACTGGTTGGGCATGGCCAACTTGTTAAATGTGGTGAAACTCACTTAACAACATTCTTGCTTAGCAACCAAAATGTTGGCTCAGAAACTGGCATTTGAAGCACGCAAGTCTTAAAAGCTGTCAAGTTATAAGACCCTTGCACCCCTAACCCTTTAGAAAAAAAAACCCCAGGGGTGTTCAAACGTGACAGCTTTGAGACTTGTGTACTTCAACTCCCAGAATTCCTCCTCTCGCTCTTCATCTTGATGATGTGCGGACAGGCGGGGGGAGGAAGCTGGAACCGGTTCTAAACGGCACTGTAGATTTATGGAACCTCCTGTATAGAAGAGGTTAGAACTGGCAGGAACCCACCCCTGGCATACAGCAGGTAGCAGTATCTGGCTAACCTGGCTAGGTTATTATTTGGATGGAAGATCACCAGAAAATCCCAGTGCTATATTCTACCCTGAGATCATTTCCATATTGCTGTTTAAAAAAGGACTTGGAGCTGTTTGTGAAGTTGCTGAATTTAAGTTTAAAGATTAAATCTTTTTACCTTTGAAACAGTCACCAGTGGATACCCCTGTATGAATGTAAAAAAAAAACAAAAACCACCCACCCTATTGCAGACTAAATGTATCTGGACTGATAACCAAGACCTACAATTTTGGATGATGTGCCTTGCTTTGTGATGATTTTGGAAACTATATGTAGTAAGGGTCCCTATCTGGGGTAGCCAGTGCAAAAGAAAAGCCCCTGGCAATGGGGTAGGAAGACACAAACCTTGCTTCGTGGCGACCAGATTTCTGCCTCTGGAGCACAGAATCTTCTTTTGTTTTCCTAGATAAATGGGACAATTTTATAAAAGAAACCGAAGATATCAACACCCTGAGGGAATGTGTGCAAATTCTGTTTAACAGTCGATATGGTGAGTGGGTGTAAAATTTCTGTTTATCATCTGTGGTGCTTGTGGCTTGCATATAATTACGAAGCAATTTTAAGGCATTTTTTCCCCTGTTGATCCCAAGCTTTTTAAAAAATAAAACCTCTATTCGCTGTTGTCACAATAGGTGGCTTGTGTCCCTTCCTTAATTCCTTCTCGATAAGGTGGTTTTTTGGGGGTGCTACTGCTTTTAAGGAAGTTCCTGAGGGAGGTGGGGGGGGGCTCCATTTGAAAAATCAACTTTTATCAATCTCTAAATTGGTCTTTCTCAATGGCAAACCCTTTGGGAGCCAAAACAGCAAGGATGTCATTTATGAGGGGAGCAGTTATATCTGGGGCAGAAAATCAGTGGCCGTCCAGATGTTATTGGATTGACACTCCAATTCCTGGTCAGTGCTGGGAGGGGTTGATGGGAACTGGTTTCCTACAGAAAAGAGAAGACCACAAGATCCTTGTTATGGGAATATAACAAGGAGTTCTATAAATAACAGTTCTTCTTTTGTCCCCACCCTGTGGAAGTAGCTTGTGGTAAATTGGGTTTTTGAGTCTGTAACTTGCCAGCTTTAGGAAAGACACTAATTGCTATGATGTTCTTTCTGCCACCAAGATGGCATCATCCGTCATGATGATCTTCATGGTTACCTTCTGAATTATGAGAATCTTTTGTAAATATTTCTCTGTCTCTTAGGTCTCCTCCTCCTCCCCCTTCTCTCCTTTCCCCCTGTTCTGACCTAGGATTCCCAAGAGCATGAAGCAAACTCCTTGTCCTGACAAAAACCCCTTTTATTAATTTACTGTGAATTCTGCTCATTCACATTCAACAAAGTCTTTTGAGGGAGGATTTACAGCCACAGACCTTATCAGGCTTGGAAAGCTGACAGGCCGATATCTGCAAAACCTGGCAAGGAGTCTTGGAGAGTCACAAACCAATTAAGCGAACTAATAGTTTCCTGCAAACTCCACTCCCCTTTCGCTCCTCTCTTATTCCCTATGGGTGGGGCAGTTCACCGTCCACCTGTGGCCTTACTCCCAAGTCGACCTCTGTTCTTTAGCTATTCCTTTCATCTGGCAACTCTGTGCATGCGCACACTGGGAACAGACTCCAGCTGTTCTTCTGCCCCACTGATGTCCGACTCTGAAGGCAGCTGATAACTGTCAGATGGCCTGGCCCATCTCTGCCTCTAATGCAGAGCCCTTGTCAGAGCCTTCCCCAGACTCCAAGACTGGCCCATGTTCCTCCCCAACCTCCTCACTGTCCGAATCTACTGTCAGCTCTGCTGGCCGACCACAACACACACACCCCTTTCTCCCTTCTACTTCTTCCTTCCATCCCTTCTCCTATCTTTCCTTCTCTTGCTTTTTTCCTCTGGTATTTTGATTTTTAAAGATTTGTTTTGGTTTAAACATTAAAAGATAAACAGGAAGAGTTGCTTTGGGATAGCACAAATGATTCATGTTTCTTTGTATAAAACACACTGTGTACACAGCAATAAAAACATTCACTTTCCATTAAGGCTCAAGCATTGACCTGTACATAGCTCAGTACAATTATGCCCACATTTAAAAGTGGATTGCTGAGGCTAAGTAATTGAGATAGGCCTAAGATGGGAGGATGATTTGAATCTGGAATTTTCTGATATATCACTTGATCTCTGAAATACTATGGCCAAAGTGGGCAATATGTATGCAAATTATGTGGTGAGGGAGCCAGTGACCACTTGGGGCAGAGCAGTTTTGGAGGAGTTAAAGTTAAAGGCTTATTTAAGAAGTCCGTGTTGTTTTGCATCTAAATTAGCAAGAGAGTCCCTCTGCTCCTAGCAATTTCCTGTTGAAATTCAAATGCACAATTTCTGACAGATTGGGCTAGAAATGAAAAATAATGACATGCAGATTGTGCATTCTATACAACTACATTCTGCATGAATGATACTACTATTTTAAAAAAATATTTCAATGGTGCTAAGACGCTTAGCTTGTCGATCAGAAAGGTCAGCAGTTTGGCGGTTAGAATCCATAGCGCCGATTAACAGAGTGAATTCCTGTTACTTGTCCCAGCTTCTGCCAACCTAGCAGTTCGAAAGCAGGTAAAAATGCAAGTAGAAAAATAGGAACCACCTTTGGTAGGAAGGTAAGAGTGTTCTGTGCACCTTTGGTGTTTAGTCATGCCAGCCACATGACCACAGAGACATCTTCGGACAGCACTGGCTCTTCGGTTTGGAAACAGAGATGAACACTGCCCCCTAGTGGCAGGAACAACTAGCACATGTGTGCGAGGGGAAGCTTTACCTTTACCCTTAAGCTATAGTGTAGTTTGGCTTAGGAGGAATGTGGTTTGTAAACCTAGCCATTTTAGTTTGTTAATAATTGCTTTCAGTTTATCGCGATATGTAAATCTGCTGTGGTTTTTTCAGTAAATAATTAAATCATAGCTTAAGCAGTGTTTGAAGACAGCCAGTGATAGGGTTTGCATAACATACTTAACCTGAATTATCTCATTTTCTGGGCATATCCAAATCACTGAATCATTAAATTAAGCAGTGGATTTCTACAGTACGTTAAGCCATAAAGAACTAACAGAGATTAAAAATAAGCAAGTATAGATGCTTATGTTTTCAACTAAACTGTGCTGAATGCACACAGCCAACATATCTCTCAGTTTCAGCCACTGGGGAATATGGACAAGTGGTTGTCCGGGCATTCCAGAGAAACAGAGGGGTCAATTTTGTGACAAGGAATACTGGATTGTAGAGGCCTTTGGTCTAATCCAGTGGGGTTTGTCTTATGTTCTTATTCTTCTGCCTGTTCTTATATTAAAGATTCTATGTTCTACCATGTTCAGCTGAAGCTTTGGGGCTGGATCATATGGTCCCTGTCCCATACCGGAAAATTGCCTGTGATCCGGAAGCAGTAGAAATCATTGGAATTCCAGACAAAATCCCCTTCAAGAGGCCCTGCACCTACGGAGTCCCCAAGCTCAAGCGGATCTTGGAAGAAAGGCACAATATCCACTTCGTGATCAAAAGGTACTTCACTGCTTCAGCATCTCATAAATGGATGCTGGAAGGAACTGCGAAGTTTGGGACCTTCCATTCCAATCAGGGGCACCTCTGAATAGGTCAAAAAAGGGTGTTATCTCTATCCATTTTGACACACACATACACACATACTTTTCTGATTCCAGTGGAAATAAGCTTTGTAAATAGATCTAGCATTTCTCCAACTTTATTTTCTTGAGGCGCATTTGAGAATTTATCAGGGCTCACCCAAAAAGGCAATGCATGTTTTTATTACAGTAGAAAAACATGTTCAATTTGTGGTCCCGCAAATCTGTGAACCAGCAATGGGATCCAGCATCTTAGTTATCTATCATTGGCATGTTAAAATTTAAAAATCGCTTTCTAAATAACCATCAGGAAGTTTAGTTCTCTTTCCATGTGAGAAGGAATAAAAATGTCTGTGTCATTCTGATAAGCTTGGGACATGAACCACCGATTTCAGGGTGGTAATGTTTATTCCCCTATCAATTTCAGATGGATGCTTTTTGTTGTTATTTTTCCCCTTCTTTGCACCTGAGTTATTTCTCCTTCCTTTACAGGATGTTTGATGAAAGAATTTTTACAGGTATGTCAGACAGTTTCCCCAAAGATCCTGTCAAATAGAATGCCAGCTAGACACTTTGAAGCTGTTTCCTTCTCTGAATTTCAAAAAGATGAATTAACTACTACTATCTGTACTAGAGTAGGGACTTCTTCCTGTGACACTGAAATGTGATTCGCTAATTTGAGTCGTAGCAAATAACATTAGACTGGAGAAGCTTGTGTTAAACTTATTAACTGTACCTGTGGTTTATTGTAAGCAGTCAGCTTTATAACCCAAGACCTGAATCTGTCCCATTAGTAATTAAAAATGGATAATAAAATTACCATATTTTTTTGAATATAAGATGCACTTCTCCCCCTTAAAGTGGATGAATATTTAGGTGCGTTTTATAGATTGAATATGGGTCTGTTTGTAGCCTCCTGAACCAACCGCGCGTCACGTTTTCGCCTTCTCCAGCACCCAGAAGCACTGTGCGATGCTCTATATGTCCCATTTTCGTCAGAAACGTCCCTGTTTTTGGCCTGCAAAGTGCTTCTGGAGGCCGGGGAGGGCGAAAATGGGATGAGCGGAGGCCAAAAACTATTTTTTTCCTTGTTTTCCTCCTCTAAATCTAGGTGGATATTATAGTCTGATACATCTTATAGTCCAAAAAATACGGTGTCCACAGTTTTCCACAATTGATTGCTTAGCTGAAATGCTGTCCATCCATGGTTGCATTGGAAGAAAACAATATTGAGATGAATGAATTGGAAGGAATTGCTAATCCCTATCTTGCCTTTATTGTCCCTGTTCCCAGTCATTACTAGTCACCTGATTTCCCTCCAAGGTAACAGGTGACAGAAAAGAACAGATTTTGTATACTTAGAGATTGCCCTTCAGTGGTGGTGGAATTAAAAAAATATAGTTTTTAACACTGAAACACCTAAGAATGACTTAAGGTTGTCTCATGTCTAGACTGGGAATGAGTTGGTGGCAACATCATGCCACAATAGAAAAGAGGTCTTCTCAGACTAAGTTGGTGTTATTGGTTAGGTTGAAAGAGGGAAACTTTCAGTCAGAAATGAATATGAAATCTTCCAAACTTGGCCATGTAAGGGAAAACTAAAAGTTGTACATAAACTCAAGACTTGTTTTGACTCAAAATTGTAGCAATGTTTGATGATATTCTTCTAGGAATAAACTAGTGCAGAACAGGTGAGAGAGCTTAACATCTCTGACCCAGATATGATTCTTCTGCTCTGTAGAGCTATTCTGTAAAGTAAATGGAATTTTCAGAGCCTCCCTTGGGTGTGATAAGCTTTTCAAACCCATTGGAAAGGATTTGGGCCTTTTTCTTTTAATGAGAAGTAGAAGCCCAAATTTCTCTCCCAAAGGCCTTTGGAACAGTTTTCGTTATAAGCTCTACCAATAATGAAAGCATCTTCCACAAATGGCAAATTGGAAGAGATTAGATTATGCTATGACATTAGCACTGATTGATTAATTATGCCCCATCCAGTCAGTGTTGACTCATAGCGATCACTTAGTTTTCCCCCAGAGCAATCGGATTCCAGTGTGGTCCTTTACATCTCCTAATGCTGGATATTGGTTTTAATAAGTTCTTAAGGGAAACATTTTTCTTTCTTTCTCTGGAGGATGGCATTTCTTTGGGATAATCTGCTGGGTCCTAGAACTGTAGAGTTGGAAGCTACCTTAGTGATCCCTTGTTCAGAGCAGCCTCCGCAAATACATTTCTGATGTATTAAGAGCTGCGGTGGCGCAATGGTTAGAATGCAGCACTGCAGGCTACTTCTGCTGCCTGCCTGCCTGCTGGCTGCCTGCAATTTGGCTGATCAAATCTCATCAGGCTCAAGGTTGACTCAGCCTTCCATCCTTCCAACATTGGTATAGTGAGGACCCAGATTGTTGGGGGCAATAGGCTGACTATAAACTGCTTAGAGAGAACTATAAAGCACTGTGAAGCAGTATATAAGTCTAAGTGCTATTACTATATGACCATCCATCCATCCACTTGCATTCTTCATGTTGCTGATAGATGCCCAAG